CTCGCATTTTTTCTGGCTCTTTTCTTGTCTTTGGAGGTCCTTCCTCCACGTCCCCCTGGCCTGCTCTTCAGAGCTGGTTCAAGTACTGGCACAGGGTTATGACATGAATTCTGAAAAATCTGACGGAAACGGCGATTCACAGGTGTCCATGGAAGGTACACGCTAGCTAAAACAGCCAGTCCATCGTTTACATAGGTGCGGGCGGTGCGGGCATTCTGCCACCTTCCGTAAAGAAGTAGGCGGTCAAGGGACCCCCATTTTTTAAACCAGTATGTGGCCCCACCCCTTCGGAGTGAATATGGCCTGAAGTCAAAGGCATCAAACCCTAGCGCTAGCAGAGTATCATTAAACTGCTTTCTCCGCTGAGGGGGTTTAGTACATAAAGGAGTTTTGGAGGGAACATCCAAAGTCCATTGATGCAGCCATCGAATGACTTGCTCGGACGTCAAGCTGACGCTTTCTGCAGCTCCCTGACGTTTGCCTCCCTTTGTGTACCCCAACGCAATGACAGCAGGGCCTCTCCCGGATGAAACGGACACGTCACTGGACGTCAACCCCAGCAACTCTCCCGTTCGCAAGACTCCGTAGAATCCTACGAGGAGCGAAATGGCAAACTGGTATTCATGATGAAAGATGGCATACCCTATCATGGCTTGCAAAGCTTCCTCGGGAAGCGGCGGCGCTCGGCTTGGGATCTCATTAACATTCCAAGCCTTTAAAAGCCTCCAGGCAGCTGGGAGTTGTTTTCTGACATTAGGCTGAGCATCCTGTATTCCGGCTACAGTGTCAGCAGCCAGAGCCCGGCCAAAGCCTTCGCTCCACAGATGCTCCACATAAATGCACAGAACTCGGTCCAACTCAAAAGGTCCACGGGGAAAGCTAATGTTCTCGTGGCGGAGGAAAGCCCAAAATTGCTCAAGAGCTTTTTCATACCTAGCTCGTGTTTTTGGCTGTACAGTCAGGGAATGCAACGTGCCTAGCTCTGCTCTTCGCTGTTTTCTCTCTGTTTGTGAGCATCCTTCAACATGTGCTTTGGCTACTTTAGCCATTTCTTCTTGACTGGATGCCGACTCGGACGGTCGGCGGGGTTGAGCTCCGTATGGACATAAGTCCATACACCATGTGCGCCAGATGCCAACAAGAGAGAGTTAATGCGAAGAAGGGTTCTGCGAAGTTTCCGACTGCTCGATCGTCCCCGTGCGAGAGCATGCAAACATACTTGACTGTCCACCAGGTGTAGGAAACGGGTTCGAATCCACCCTTTACGAGCAAACCGCCATTTCAGCGCCGTCAACACAGCACGCATTTCAAGAACGTTGATGTGTTCCGAGCTTCCTGTCCATCTCCACCCGCAGACGGTTTTCCAACGCCACAAGTTGGCGGGGATGCTTGCTCTTAGCCGGTGGTATCGCTGCACGTCCTCAGATGGAGCCTGTAAAAGCAAGTCCTCCCCCTTACCACTAACAAGCCCCGTCAACTTTCGTGCTAACAGATCAGGTTGCGGCTCAATTGTACCACGTGGGGCTCGCATGAAAGGACGCAACAAGAAACTTTGCAGACGGGTGCCTGCCCCCGGTCGACACTGTCGCATCAACTCCGCCATGGACAAACGATTGCAAAGCCCTCGTGGGACCCCCAAGCAGTGCAAAAGCCAAATAATGACAAACACGCACCATGAGTTTCCAATGAGTGACAACCGCTCATCCTGCCATGCCGTTCCATGCCGCTGTCCCTTGGGAAGACAATGTG